AAAGTATCAACATTTTGTCAGAATATCAACAATGTGTTAATATTCTGACAAAATGTTGATACTTTCATTTTCAAAATAATCAGTGGTGGACTGTAAGGAAATACATTCTTTAAGTATTCTCGAACAAATATGAAGTACTAAGTTTTCTTTTTTCTCACAGACAGCAACAACACTATAAAAATATGGTATTTTACAACATGATGCATTGTTGTAGATTAAACTACCCAACAGTATATTTAGTAGGTAACTTTAAATTTAATAACATTGAACATATTCAGAAGTAAAATGCAACATACTATCACGACTAACACACTGGGAGCACAGGAATGAGCGAGGAGACGAGGAATAAAGTAAATCAAAAGGGTTTTAATGAAGGCACGCTGGGGATCACAGGACGGAAGACATCTGGCAAACAAAATGACACTTAACAGCAGACAGAGAACTGGGAACTGAGAACACTATAAATACACAGACACCAATGGGACACACCTGGGAGCAAATGAACTAAGTAATCAAAACACAGCTGGAGACGAATACAGACAATGAGGACAGGAACAGGAAGGACCAAATAAGGGCAAGGAAGGCACATGAGGAGCAAAACACGGACCAGAGTCTGACATAAGTTCCCCCTTCCGGAAGGCGTGTCCCGCGCCGTAAAATATCCAATGGTGGGTGGGGGCACTCTGGAGGCCTCTAGGAGCAGGGTTACCGGACAGAAGGCCTCCAGGGCGGCGCCCGTTCCGGGATCCATGGCGGATCTGGCAGCTCTGGGTGCCATGGTGGATCTGGCAGTTCGCGGCGCCATGGCGGATCAGGGGACTCAGAAGGCCATGGCAAGGCAGCCTCCAAGGCCCCAGCCCCAGCCCCTGCCTCTACGGCTGGAGCCCTATTACCCCCCCAAAAAAAAATACTTGGGGAAGATTTCGGGCTCCGAAGCCCTCCGTGGGCCATAACCGGGGACTGGAGCCCTCCCTGGGCTATACTCGGGAACAGGAGCCCTCCGTGGAGCGAGCTCTGGGGCTGGAGCGACACTGGAGCGAGATCTGGGGCTGGAGCCGACACTGGAGCGAGCTCTGGGGCTGGCAGGTTGAAAGGCGTGGTCGGCGGGCTTGAGTGAGCCGCGACCGGCGGGCTTGTCTGAGGAACCGCCGGCAGGCTTGAGAATGCCGCGGCCGGCGGGCTGGAGAGAGCAGCAGCTGGCGAGCTTGACATCGGCGTGGCCGGCGGGCCTGTCTTCGGAGCGCCCGGCGAACTTGAATTCTGAGCTGCCGGTGGGCTTGTCTTTGGAGCGACCGGCGAACTTGAATTCTGAGCTGCCGGCGGGCTTGTCTTCGGAGCGACCGGCGAACTTGAATTCTGAACTTGACAACGACGCGGCCAGCGAGCTTATCAGCAGGGAGGTTCTCACACCACGGGGAACAAACAGGATAAATAAAAGAAAACAATGGACTGTTCAAAAATGAAAACAAAACACGGGAGAAGGAGCGCCGCTTACTGTTTCGGTCTGCTGTTCTGTCACGACTCACACACTGGGAGCACAGGAACAAGCGAGGAGACGAGGAATAAAGTAAATCAAAAGGGTTTTAATGAAGGCACGCTGCGTATTTTGCGTATAGGGAGGATCGGCTCTGATAACAGTACTCTGAGCCAACTCTGGCTACGACTTTCTAGTTTTTACTGAAATAAAAATGTAATCGTGGGAAAACTATAAAATGGGATATGATTTAACATGGTTTCTTTATTTCTCATATTTCATATTTAAATCACACACAAGATGGCAGCATCTGCCCTGGAGACCCAGAGCACTGCTAAATACCTTAAGGGCCAGTTTTACTAACAGCTTGCGTCAATGCAAAGCGTCTTTTGGCATTAGTATTGTCAGGATTTACTAAAGATGCGCAGTGAAGAATTAGCGCTGAAAAGGCGTGGACATTTATTTTTGCGCCTGACCTTATTGAATATGCAATTGTAGGAGCTTCCCTTTCAGACGCAAATGGGAGGAGAGTGCGATTTGCTAAGATTTGCGCTCGTCAAATTACTCTATTTTTGCACATCTTTAGTAAAACCTGACAGTACTATTTTAACGCCAAAAGATTGTTTGCGCTGGTGCAAGCTGTTAGTAAATCTGGCCCTTAAACTATTTTGCGCTTGAAATGTTTAACCATAGTTCATGAAACGTACACGTTTTGTCCATCAATATAATCATCACAAAATAATATAACTTGTATTTATTCCAGTTCATATTAAAATGTTCATGTAACGTGGCTTAAAATTCATTCACAGAGTAAATCCTTTTTGCTGAACATGTTTCTAAAAATAAGTTTGAAAAGTTGTCGGACGCACGGTGGTGACGTTGAAGGTGAGCGACCGTGGTGTAGTTTGTTTATAGTTTAGCTTTTTAGTTCTGGCTCTTGTATTTAGGCTTCAAAATTCGTAAAAAACTAGAGCCAAAGTAAAACTGAAATGAGACATTAATAAATAGTAAGTAGTGGATAAATGGAATAATCATAACTAAAGCACACAAAAGCACATATTTCTGTACATTTCGAAATAAGGTGCCTTAAAAGTCAATAAATCCTTGAGTAATATGAATATTTTAATTAAAAACGTGTCTCCACATAGTAGGTGCATTTAATCTATTAAATAACAGCAGAGTGAGTGAGTTTTTGGATATGGTAAGATTAAACTTATTGTAGTAAATAAAGTAAAATTTCAGCTATCGTTTTGTTAGGGTGGTTACACAAAATGTTATTTTAGCCTTGCTTCTAGAAAATCCTCATGTGCGTCAACGCTGACCTCATACGCCATTCCCCCGGAGCTGCTTCTGTTACAACTGTTGGCGCAAGCTACATTAAAGTGATTATTATGTTATGAATATGGATATTTTTCTTACAAAAACGCATCGATTCGCTACAGGAAGCCTTTGTTCACACACCAGAGCCATGTGAGACACTTTTTGTTATGGATGGGACCTTTTTATTTCACTTCTTTGGGACTGAAGCACTGCAACACCCGCTGAGTGCAATGATAGAGCTAGGAATAGCCAGGACCATTTTTAAGAGGTGTTATGTTTCTGCACTCTTCCATTTTTATCAAATTAAGAAAACTTTGTCTAAAAACAATTTTTTGTATTTTTTGTGCTCTGTATGGAACATCAGTGTCTGTTTAAGTGATGAACTCCATTACTTGTGTTTGCTTTCAGACATGATAACAGACGTTTTATACTTGTGCTACAACTTTTTGGCCTGTGCTACAAAACTTTCAACCTCTGTAGCACCAGTGCTATGTGAAAAAAAAGTTAACGTACAGCCCTGCTTTAAGGGTGATTAACTGGCTGAGATTTGGGCCGGTTATGGCCCATGTGTGACCCTTGTCTTCAATCCAGTTCTGGGACACTTCAGGGCCGTCATTCTTTGCAGTACTTGGGCTGAAGGAAAAGTGATTGTGTGGCCCGGAGCTGGGCCAGAAAACATTTGCTATGTGGGAATTTTTGACATCTCAGTCTGAGTTAAACCTCTTTTTTGGAGTAAAAGAAAACATGCCTAATAATTCTGCACACCTGAATATAAGGAGTTTTTCACTTCCAGCCGTCATGGACAATTATATATCACTTATAAATGATTAAATACAAAATCAATAGTAGTTATTAAGATTGATGTGGTAAAAATGTGCTTGGAAAAAAAATATATCATCACAATATCAACATCAACCTAATAATTATGCACGCGGTGTACAGGGCCATATTTTCCAGCACGAGTTTTTGTTTTATATTTATACCAAATGATAAGCAATAGCCTATCACACAAACAAAAGTGTTATTTTCCCCTGAATATCAGCACGACTGCAAATGTAATATTGATTTAATAAACAGTTACTATTGTCACTTACATTTTAGACACAATATCTATAACAATGTCTCTTTTGCATCTCGAGTGCTTCATTGCTGAATGAATCTGTGTTTAAATAAATTAGTTCAATTCATGGTTCACGGAGAGAATCAAACAGCCATTTGAAAGAATGACTCTTCTTCTTTGAGGATTCATGGCGGTTGGCAAACCAGCTAAAATGGTGCATTACCACCACCAACTGGACAAGAGTGTGAAGCGCCGGCAGAGAGGAGAAAAAAACATTATCCAATTATAATATTCATTCAAATCCTTGCATCTAAACCAGTTGTCTTATAACATCCTGTATATTTTGCTTGTCCTGGCTATCACATTTATCCTTCAGTTTCTGTGCAAACGTTTCTGTCTTCTTCACATGGCATGCGATGTAATATTACATGCTCAACTTTCTCTTCTCAATCACAAAAGGCACACAGTCCTGTTTAATGTTTCCATTTCTGTGAGTAATGACTGATTTAAACCACGTCTAATTCAGAGATGAGTGATTATAGTATCTTCTTTGTTCTTTGTTAATTACAATTCCTCCTATACAGACTTGTTTTTGGCCACTATAGAACTTTCCTTTGTTTCCTTAACCCATATTTCCTGATATTTTTTATTCACAAAAGTCTATATGTTCCCTTTTACCTCCTCCCTACACTCTAAAAAAAACCTGTAAAAATAGGGCACAATATACTGTATTATTTGAAGGAATTTTTCCGCATTTATTTTTTTACAGGTGTTTTACCAGTATTTTAAATTTGACTCTGCATTCTGTTTTAGAGTTAACAGAAATGTCAATAAAATTAATGGATAATGTTGTGTGTAAAGAGCTGCCAGCACTTTTTCTGTTATTTAACGGATTTATTTATTTACAGTGTACTCATCATTACTTATCCTGTTTAATATGTACCCTTAAAATGCTTGATAAAGCTGAAGATGAATCTCTTTTTTGGAGTAAAAGAAAACATGCCTAATAATTCTGCACACCTGAATATAAGGAGTTTTTCACTTCCAGCCGTCATGGACAATTATATATCACTTATAAATGATTAAATACAAAATCAATAGTAGTTATTAAGATTGATGTGGTAAAAATGTGCTTGGAAAAAAAATATATCATCACAATATCAACATCAACCTAATAATTATGCACGCGGTGTACAGGGCCATATTTTCCAGCACGAGTTTTTGTTTTATATTTATACCAAATGATAAGCAATAGCCTATCACACAAACAAAAGTGTTATTTTCCCCTGAATATCAGCACGACTGCAAATGTAATATTGATTTAATAAACAGTTACTATTGTCACTTACATTTTAGACACAATATCTATAACAATGTCTCTTTTGCATCTCGAGTGCTTCATTGCTGAATGAATCTGTGTTTAAATAAATTAGTTCAATTCATGGTTCACGGAGAGAATCAAACAGCCATTTGAAAGAATGACTCTTCTTCTTTGAGGATTCATGGCGGTTGGCAAACCAGCTAAAATGGTGCATTACCACCACCAACTGGACAAGAGTGTGAAGCGCCGGCAGAGAGGAGAAAAAAACATTATCCAATTATAATATTCATTCAAATCCTTGCATCTAAACCAGTTGTCTTATAACATCCTGTATATTTTGCTTGTCCTGGCTATCACATTTATCCTTCAGTTTCTGTGCAAACGTTTCTGTCTTCTTCACATGGCATGCGATGTAATATTACATGCTCAACTTTCTCTTCTCAATCACAAAAGGCACACAGTCCTGTTTAATGTTTCCATTTCTGTGAGTAATGACTGATTTAAACCACGTCTAATTCAGAGATGAGTGATTATAGTATCTTCTTTGTTCTTTGTTAATTACAATTCCTCCTATACAGACTTGTTTTTGGCCACTATAGAACTTTCCTTTGTTTCCTTAACCCATATTTC